AAAAAAAAAAATGCACACACACACATACTGACTCTTGTACTCAATCCTCACAAAATTCTATTGCATCAGAAAAGGTAGCTTTTGGCTTTGAACCTCTCTTAGTAAACATCATCGGATGTACTGGCGGCCTATGGACATAATGCCTTGAACTATTCCTTCATAGGGTACACCAAGACAATGACATTCGCACAATAAAGTCTTAACTACATTCCTTCTATCGTTGTGTACGTTTTGGCCATGGACAACACAATGAATTCATAAGTGTTTACATTTGAAGTGGCTCACACTTCACACTTATATAGGTGACCTCCTATCAGGAGTATCCTGTAATACTCAACCTTTACAAGGTTAGGGATTCATTAAAAGTCCAAATGACTTACCTTTACCACAATCAACAAGTAATCTTGCACTTGGTATACTCTAGGGAATAGCTTTGGACATTCATATGTTCCAAGTGCTCGACTGAATTTTCATAGCTTAGTTTTCTCTTTGAACCAAGTTTGTGGGATCTCCACTCAGCATGGTAGGGTTACAACTATGATCATTCTTTACATTGTGGATTTTTAAGCCCATTCCCTCTAGCAAAACTGTCAATTGATCTCTATTCAATCCTTTCGTCAAAGGATCAGCCAAATTTTCCTTAGACTTCACATAGTCAATGAAAATAATACCATTTGTGATCAATTGACGTACGGTATTATGTCTACGATGAATATGTCTAGACTTACCGTTATACAAGTTGCTTTGCGCCCTACCTATAGTTGCTTGGCTATCACAGTGAATCATTACAGGCGGCAAAGTCTTGTCCCAACATGGAATATCGAATAAAAAATTTCTAAGCCACTCGGCTTCTTCACCAGCTTTATCTAAAGCGATGAACTCCGATTCCATCGTTGACCGAGGTATACACGTTTGTTTTGTGGATTTCCACGAAACTGCACCTCCTCCAATGCAGAAAACATATCCGCTAGTGGAGCGAGAATCTCTCGAATCTGATATCCAGCTTACATCACAGTACCCTTCAAGTATGGTTGGATATCTCGAGTATTTTAGCCCGTATTCAAGGGTATACCTTAAGTACTTAAGTACCCTTCTCAAAGCATTCCAATGTTCATGACTGGGATTGCTCGTAAATCTGCTCAACTTATTCACCGGATAGGCCAAGTCTAGTCGTGTACAATTCGTCAAGTACACCAGACTCCCTATTATTCGTGAATATTTCAACTGAGACACTGGTTGACCTTTGTTGACTTCCAGATTTATACTGAGATCAAGGGGTGTCTTACACCTAGACTGTGCACTGTCATAGGTATCAAATTTCTTGAGCACTTTCTCTACATAATGAGATTATGACAAGACAATTCCATCTTGGGTTCTAATAATCCTTGTTCCAAGAATAACATCAGCCAAACCCATATCTTTCATTTCGAAATTTCTTTTCAACATTCTTTTCGTATCCATGATCACTTCATGGCTACTCCCTATGATCAACATATCGTCTACATATAGACATACAATCACAAATGTATTTGATGTACTCTTGACATAAACACATTTATCACATTCATTTATTTTGAAATCAGTTGTCAACATCACGTCATCAAATTTCAAATGTCATTGTTTCGGAGCTTGTTTCAATCCGTACAAGGATTTGATCAATCTACACACCCTTCTCTCTTGTCCAGGTGCAACAA